TCTCTCTCTCTCTCTCTCTCTCTCTCTCTCTCTCTCTCTCTCTCTCTGTCTGTCTCTGTCTCTCTCCCCTTTTGGAGATTAAACCAGATCTTCCTACACTAAATATACTAGCCAACATCTCTTCCAGTAAGTTATACCCTCAACCCTGAAACTTCCTCCTAACCCAAGTTAACCTTGCTGTGATGGATCATTATCCATTTGTAAACCACACCACCATCTCTGTCTCACTCAAATATTGTCTGGTTCTCGTTTATCAGACAGGTTATGGAGGAGCTGGTGGATGAAGGTTTGGTGAAAGCCATTTGCATCTCCAGTTTCAACCACTTCCAAATCAAAAAGCTCTTGAACAAGCCTGGACTAAAATATAAATTAGTCATTATCAGGTAAAGTGTGTTTACTAAAGAGGTTTGCTCTATTATTTCTGAAGTGTTTGGAGGCAAGTTCAATGCTATGGACTAAGTCTCATCTCGGGGCTCAGTGATCAGGATGCTGAAGTAGAATGCAGATCTACAGGTCTGGTTTAGCAATTCTGTTTGGAAAGCTCTTGAACAAGCCTGCTCTGAAGTAGTAACCAGTGACTAACCAGGTAAATGCTGCATGGGGTCTTGCCCTGTTACTTAAGTGTTTGGAGGAAAGTTCAGTGCTGTGTCCTGAGTCTCATCTCAGGGGTCAGTGCTTAGGATGACTTGGGGATGTGGGAAAGAGATCTTCAGGTCTAAATAAGTAAGTCGGTCAATGGGCAGTGTTTGATCTGTGCATGGTTTGCTTTTTTGCATGTAGAACTTCCCATTGGTCCCCCAAATGCAGGCCACCTCCCCTACTGATGCAGATTGTTCACTCTTGCAGGTGGAGTGTCACCCATACCTCACCCAGGAGAAACTGATCCAGTACTGCCACTCCAAGGGCATAACTGTCACTGTCTACAGCCCCCTGGGCTCTCCAGATAGACCTGGGTGAGGCTTCTCAGTGGTGCATCTTTCTCTGGATACACTTAAAATACTATTTTATAATTGCTTAATATTGAATCAAAAAGGCACCAGAAAGAAAAGCACTGTGTATAGCAGTGTACTTGGCACACCCAGGTAGGATTACAGTGGGGGAAATGGCAATTTAAGAAAAAGAGAGAGAACATACCTAACCCTATGAGAATGCTCCAGTTGTGACCCTCTTGCTGGATGAGGCTTTTAAAAATACTGAGGCTCCCAGTGCCCACGGATCTCCCCATAGGCAGACCACATAGCTGTTGGGTCCTCCTGTGTGTGTCATGTGTCCTTTAGCTGTGCTATTGTCATTGGAGTGAATCTATCTCTATTAGTGTCCATGGTGATGACTCACACACCAGCCTTCTTTTTGTCTCCAGGGTCAAGCCAGACGACCCTTCACTACCAGAGGATGCCAAGACTAAGGAGATTGCTGCAAAGCACAAAAAAACCACAGCCCAGGTACAGGGTTCGTGGTGTGTGTTTTTTTTTAAATCCCACAATACATTCTTCCAGTCTTGCATTTTATTCCTTGGTATCTTCATTTTCCTTAACGCTTGGAGGGGAAAAACTATAAAGTGAAGCCAATAAACATGCTTCCTTGAATCTTTTGGGATTTTGAACATAATATGTAACAATGAAACAGGATAGCCTCTGTTCATCAGCTTCCTGCCAAGCTCTCTAGGAAGCCACAAGACAGGGATCTGGATTCTGGTGCCAGCTGCACCATGTCCCTGCCTTATAAGCCCAAGCTACCCTCCTCATTACTGAAAAAGAAAAGCTCATAGAGTTGAAACTCAGTCTAGAGGAATTAAGAGGAACCTACAAGTGTCTCTAACAGTGAAGCGCTCCGTCACTCTCAGCTGTTGTACTTAACGCCATCATGAGCTACAAGGATAGTTTTTCCCTCTCATTAGGAGGAGTCCTTGTAGATGAGTGAAAACACAGTGTCCCCTTCCCGTACAGGTTCTGATCCGATTCCACATCCAGAGGAATGTGGCAGTGATCCCCAAGTCTGTGACACCAGCTCGCATCACTGAGAACTTTCAGGTGAGATCCTGGATGGTTGTCTGGTGTTCTGAGAGGAGTAGGGTACAGGGCTGCCCAGGCCATTGCTGCATTGTCCATTAGTCAGTCCTGTCCTCTTCTGTTCAGCTCTTAGTTCAGGGGACTATCCTCAGAAGAGCTGATCCTGGGCCAAGGATGTGCTGGCAGCAGTGACCAGAGGATCCCTGTCAGATCTGAGCACAGCCGTGTCTCATAATACTAAGACTCTCAGTTGCCCTTGAGCAGTTAGGTCATAAGTCACACGGAAGAGCAGACTGTGCTGTCCTACACATCCTTCTCCCAGCAACAGAGGACAAATGGGCCATACCGGAAGAACAACTCTTCCGGAGGAATCCACATAGCCTTCAGAGAACACAGGCACTGTGCACACTGAAGGTCAACACCTACACAGCTCTTCTCCCTCCTCTTGGAACAGCAAGTCTCATGAGTACTCTACCTCTATTACTGACCTGCAAGTCATTCATCTCAGCTCCATTAGCCTAGGAATTGACAAAGGGGGAAGGGTGTGTGAGCCATCAACAGTGCCCGGAGGTGACACTGTCTTGCACAGTGTTCTTGAGAGAACAATTTGTAGTCAGTGGACACAATGGGAGAAAAGCCTGTCCAGTGTGTGCTGTAGATGGGAGGTCACTCCCTGCCCAAGTCGCATAATTCCAACTAGGAAATGCTTTGCTCAGGACGTTTTTGAACTCACCTTTCCAGGTCATTGACTTCAAATTGTGTGATGAGGAGATGGCAACCATCCTCAGCTTCAACAGAAACTGGAGGTCCTGTATTATACCTGGGTATGTGGTTCAGGATGAAGCAGGAGGATCACAGGGGTCTTTCCAGAGTGGTGCAGGGTTAGCTAGAAGGATTGGAAGGCATCTAGCTTTTTTCTCTAAATGTTATTTTCTGGCTTTTTTGAAAATGAACATTAGAGTCCTCGGGGAATTTTTATAAGGAAAGACACTTTCTTAAATGCTGTCTGTTGAACTTCTGGATGTAGACCTGGAACAGTATGAGGAAGGCAGAAGTATTCATTCATTCATTCCCTCAATAATTCATTATTAATCTGCTACCTGCTGGGCACTCTGGAGGAGCTTAGGATATCACATTGTACAAAATCCCTGCTTCCACACCCTTAACACAAGCACTGCATAATATTGTAAAATAGGAACAAATACTAGGCAGAAAAATAAAATGGGAAGAAGATAGGAAATAGTGGGACATAATCTGACTTATGTTCTCAAAGGAACTACAAAGATTTCTGCATAGAGAGATTGCAGGAAAACTACTATACTAATCCAGGAGATGAGAGTGAGCTCACCTGGGTGGAGGTGGTGGATGAGATGAGGAATGATCAGATTCTCGACCTACTGAGGAAAGAGAGCCAGTTGAACTTGCTGACAGATTAGCAGGCAATGATCACTCCAGATTTTTGTTTGGTTTATTTTGTTTTTGCCTGCATAACACAAGAATGGCATTGCCATTCACGGATTTGGCTTGAGATATGCTTGTGATGACTGCTAGATATCCAGGAGAGAATGTCAGATAGTTCAATAGTCATGCATTGGTGAGCTCAGGCATAAACTTATCTGGCTTCAAATCTTGAATTACAGCATGTTGGGTTTTTAGAACATACCAGGGATCCTATGTCCTTTGCCTATACTTATTACCCACAAAACAATGAAGCATCAATTGCCGGGCTGTTTCTCAACTCACAATAATGTGAGCTTATTTTGGTACCACGGTCACTCCGTAGTTGCCTCCTCTCCTTCCTTAAACATCTCTCTCATCAGGTGGAGGGAAGGTCTGGGTGTGAGTCCCTTGTGTGCTCACAAAGACTTGAAGTGGAAGAAGAGGCTGAGAGAGCATAAAAATGGCACAGCACATCAGAGAAGAATGCCTAGTGGAGCACAGTTGTTGCATTTGTCCAACAGTTTGTCTGCCTGTTTTTGCAGCATGGCGCATTTGGAGGAGCATCCTTTTGATGCCAAATATTGAAGCTGTATGATGTGATTAGATGATAAGAAGGATACCATCTCCTCACTGTGTGGAACTCACTCCCCGTGAGACCTGTTTCAGCCAAGCTTTGCGGAAGCCGCGTTGTACCTGAGCTCACTGCAGGCAGACTGTAGGCAGTGCTGTTCTGAGAGAGCCTGTGTTCCATCAGGAGCAGACATCATTGCAAAGCGTGACTCATGACAATGTTTTCACTTATTCGATCTGTGCAGATGTTTGTTAAATGCTAAGAACTCTTCTAACATTGAGAATAAAATAATAAAACTAATAAAAATACTAATAGTAACCAACAAGTGCTGAGTTTATTACGCACCAACATACTTCAAAGAGTTCTTCCTATGGCTGAACTCATTGAATCCAACCCTCATCAGTCACATTTTACAGAGGAGGAAACGGGAGCACGGGGAGGCCAGGGAACTCACTTGAGGCCACCCAGGTAGTAAGTGGCTCGCCACCATTTCAAAAATAGGTGGCTCAGGAAGAGCTCAAGGTAACTCATCCTCTTTCTTCTCCTGGCCCCGCTCCTTCCGTTCTTGTGCTCCCACATTGCCCATACTAAGCCATCATGCCAAAGAGTCCCTGCTGGTGGTGCCCAAGCCTGTGAAACCCACAAAAGCACCACCAGTCATTGACAGAAAGAGGCATCTGTGTAGTGTGGGCTGGAAAATGGGGGAGAGGCTGAACAATAAAAAATGCTTTCCATTGCCATTAAGCTGAAACTTTTACTTTCTTCTGTAATATTTGTTTTTATGAAACATCACAATTAAATGGAAATGCACAGAGCAAAACACAATGAGGATCTGGCCCCTCACTTTACAAACTTAAATACTCCAATTCTAAACAGTTCTTTTCTTTTTTTTTTATTTTAAAGATAAAAGGAGGGAAACATTAACAGACATACAACATTTTACAACATATCACAAGCACAATACAGACAATACAGAGTTACAAACAAAGTGGTAGGGAATTAACAATGGTGGTTGTATTACATATTGATATCTTCAAAGTGGCTTCTCATGAAAACAGATATAGACATGCAATACTGGTCAACCAAAGACTCATTGACAGTTTCTTTCAGCATAGAAATAGAAGACAGAAGAACAACCATCTAAACAGTTCTTTTCCTTTTCAAAACCATTGCCTCCACCAAGAATTTTAAGAGCTTCCCCTCCCCTACGGAACCAATGACTGAACCCTGACATTGACTCCTGGCTTGGTCTCTTCAGCTGTTCATCCTCCTGGCCCCTCGCCCAGGCTCCTAGTAGCCAGCACCAGGCAAATACCTCCCACAGAGACATGACAGCTTGCTCCTGCCTCAGAGAGCAGAGTAAGAGAGGTTAAGAAAAAGTACCTGCCAGTCTGAGTGCATTCCTCAGGTCCCTGTCTCCTTTCCTCACTCGTAAAGACCTGAGGGAGGACTCAGAGGAGAGTGACAGTATTCTGTGTGAACAAACAAACTGCAGTGTGCATTTGGAGCAGTAACACCATGAGCCAAGATTACAGGACCATCTTAAAATTCTGTCTGTTATGCTGATGGGGCAAGAGAGACTCCATTTTCTGTTTTTAACTCCATATTAAGAGAAGTCACTTCAAGTTCACTTAAGCCGTAGCTGACCCCCACTCTTCACTCGTTCCCCTTGGTTAGTTATGAACCCATTCATAGGACAGCAGTCATAAAATGGGAACAGAACAGGACAAATCGGAAAGTAGGCTACAAGTTGAACTGCAATGGTCATTTGGAATCCTGCTGTCCACCAGCTCCTCGGAAAAGTAAACTTTGTGCATTCCTGTAAGATTCCCAAAAATGAGGTAATGGTTATTATGGAAACTAAAAATGTACTTAAACTGAAGGTGAGACTCAGATCGGTGTGGACATCTCTGGCACCTGGTTGGAGACTGTCCATCAGCCAGCTCAATAAAGCTTTGTTCGTTCCTGCTCCTTCTGTCTCTTGTGAATGCAATTTCTTGTTGAACTCACTTGCTGTATTATCACCACCTTCATCAGGCCATCAGTTTAATGTTACTAGATAGACTGCAGCAGAAAAAATTCAGCTTCAGATCTGTGTTATCTCTGCCAAGGATGCATAACTTGAATCTAAACACTAAGAAACATCAGACAAGTCCATAAAGTGAGTTATTCAATAAAATTAGTAGTCTGTGATCTGGAAAATAGTCAAAATCAAGAAAATCAGAGGACTGTGGAATAGCACAGAGACATGATAAACATGACTAAGCTGAATCCTTTGGCTATAAACGACACCACTGGGGCAACAGGTAAACATTGAATGAATTCTAAAATTAAATGATAATAATGTGTTAAGATTAATTTCCTTATTTCAATACTTGTAATGATAGATATACATCTTTAATGAAGAATTACATACTGAAGTATTCATGGCATATTATGTCAGCACATTACTCTCAAACTACTCAGTAAAAAATGATCTTTGTACTATGCCTGTAATTTTTCAAAATTATCATCAAAAGGAAAAAATAGAAATATTAGAAAATAAGAAATAAACTAGATTTCTAGTAGAATTAAAATGATTGTGGAAAGAATCACACATATTGTTTTAAGAATCTTTTTTTTTTTTTTTTTTTTTTTTTGGTTTTTCTCCGGTACTGGGAACTGAACTCACGACCTTGCGCTTGCCAGGCAGGCACTTTGCCGCTAAGCTAAATCCCCAGCCCCTCATTTTATTTTGAATATTTAAAAATAAATGTAATAGGATCACCCCCTTTTATGATATTAGTTAATAAAAAAGGGGGAAGCTAACTAGAATGAAATGACTGAATTAGAGTGAACTAGAAAACTGGTCTGAGTAGTCCTCAACCAGTATATAAAAATATCAGAGCTAAAACTAAGACAGCAGAACCGAGAATTTGTGTTAACAAAGTAACCACTGTTTTTAAAAACATACTGAGAGGGTGGGAGTGTAGTTCAGTGGTGAATGTGTGCTTGGCATGTGTGAGGTCCTGGGTTCCATAATTTTTTTTCAAGGTTTTTTTTTTGGTACCAGAAATTGAACTTGGGACCTCACACTTGCCAAGCGAGACGCTGTGCCACTGAGTTATATCCCTGGCCCTCCATAATTTTTTTTTACATAGAACATAGAAATGGCAAGCTCTTGTCAAACTTCCAAGGCCTTATCTGTGGTTTCAGAAAGACAGTGCCTTTCTTCATGTTACACTAAGAAGGCTTTATAATAGTTTTGTTTTTTAAAAATTTTGCAAGCAATGAATATTTATTGGCTCCTGGAATTTAACACCTGATACATTCATAGGGGCTATCTTTTGACTTCTTTAAAAACAAAAATTACCCAGGCTTGAGTGTCTTGTTGTCTTGGTAACATTATAAACCACAATCTCTACATATCACCCGAGACATTTTGGATGTCCTATTCACTTTTGCAAAGGTTGGTTTTCTGCATTTCACATTAATTTCCAAATGTGATCTTTATCAACTGTGAAGTTGTTGTCTGAGTTCCCAACACTCTGACTTTACTAACTCATTTCTTTCAGCCTTTCAGTTTGGGACTTTTGCTTCATGTCATAACAACATATAAATTGTTAATACACTCTTTCCCATCAAGGCAAAAGCTGTGACATCTTAGAAGGGTATAGGCTTGTGATCCACAAGTCCAAGATCATTCTCTCTCTTAAAAACCTCTTTTCCTTGTGTTGTGTAGAAAAAGGGTAACACATAGATCACATAACAAGTGTTTTATTTAAAGTACAAAGGAAGAATTAAAAATTGATAGTTAGAACCTATAACACACCCCAAAGTAGTGATAATTTCATTTCTACCAAAACAAGTTCCTGCTCTTCTGCTTGACTCCTAGATTAAGTAGATCCAGTAAGAGGCTCCTTTGGACTATATACTCTACTTCTTGGCAACAATTTAGAGCTAGTCCCCAAAGCCCTGGACCTGTTGAACCTATTTCCTTAATGATTTCCTGAGCTCTCAGAAGGAAAAAGTGATCTCAGGAAAATAAAGTCATTCTATTGCTGTTTACTCCTTTCAGAAGGCTGCAGCCTCCGTCTTTCAGCATTGCTTGCATTTATTTATAAGCAAACAGTTAATATTCTTCAGTAGAAAATCCAGCTGTGATTTTCATTTTCTAAAATTTGGTAACTTAATTCCATCTTATCAGTTAACTAGAAGCCAAGCACTCAGACAAGGACTTAAGACACCTGCTTCATCATAATTATTAGCCATGCAACATCATTCATTACAAATTCACCAGTTAGAAAGCTGGACTTTCACCGCTGCAGCTCAACAAGCTCTGATAAGCTAACAGTTTTGTTTCATCTTGATGGAAGCCTGCTTCTGTGCCCGAGCGTGTACTGTCAAGGCTGACAAAGGGCTGTAGTTGCTAACTGGGCCACGGTAGAAAGCGGGTAGCTGACTCGGGAGCCTCAGTCTCTGCCAGTCAGCCCAGAGGACTAGACTCTCGAGGATGGTGGAGCTTAGCCTCAGTGGAGGTCCCTTCACCTCTTCAGCCTCACAGTCAGGCTAGTATCAGATGCCTCCAGTGACTAGGAGTTCAATTTCCAACAAATTCTTGGGAATATTTCTTGTTTAGAAAGGTTTTTCTCATTGTCTTCCTACATTTTCTACCTGTGGATCTTAATTCTGTATGCCATTAGAACACAGAACATGTCTTATATTGTTCCCCATGAAAACCCTTCAAATATTTACTGTGGCCATCAGATTCCATGTTATACTTAATTGTTTTTGATAAATATCTCAGGTAAGGAAACAGTTGAAATTCAACTAATTAAATTCAGTTTTACTGATTTAAATTATGGATAAACTAGTTTATTGGCTAGTTCATTAATATTAAATTGATAGATCCTTTAAACTAAATCAGTTAGTACAGTTTAAAACTGGCGTGTCTAAGTCAATAGTAATAGTGTTAAGACAAAGACTCGAGAGGCTGAGGCTAAATCCCACAGGATGTCAGTGAAGTGGTAGTTTTGTCAGTGTGTAGTTTTGTTTTTGTTTTTGTACCAGGAATCAAACTCAGCACCTTGCATTTGCCGGGCAGGTGCTGTGCCACTGAGCTATATCCCTGGCTTTATTAGTGGTTTTGTTCTGAGACAATAGTCCAGTGTATAATTTTGCAAATCTAAAAACTCAATTTTAAAAATTAATTTTGGTAGTCTCAGGAATGACGTTGGGGATGACTCATTATAATTTAGCTCATGAAAGACTGATGTAAAATACAAAATTGTAATTTGCTCTGTTCTAAAAGCTATACCCATC